CTTGCTATTTCTAACCTTCCCTTCATCCTAACCTTAACCGTACAGCTAGTTGGAACCTCCCCATGCCTGGGCCCCCAACCAACACATTCTCAGTCCGAACATGTGGGACAGAAACGCTTGGTCATTGTGAGAGGATGGTTAGACATAGCAAGAGGTGTAAAGTTAAGATGGGGGTGAGGGGTATGGGGTGCCATTTGTAAAGTCAAACAGTCATAATCTAACAGCAATATTTTTGGTTATTTGGCATATCATGAGAGAAAAAATTGAGAGTTCACTTTTTCAAAGTCATATTTTCACCATGTTATTCATACATTTATAAATGTTAAAGTTTCCAAATAAATATTTAGTTAGCACGCTAAATATTTAATTTATAGTTAAATATTTATGTTGCAAACTAAATATTTAAGTCTGATCTAAATACTTAGTTTGTAAAATAAATATTTAATTCACTAACTAAATATTTAATTTACTAATTAAATATTTATTTTGGAAATAAATATTTAAAATTTAAATTAAATATTTAATTTGTAAATTAAATATTTTCCAAAGAAATATTTAGATCCCAGCTAAATATTTATTTTCCATGATGTTATTTAGCTCCACACTATAGTTTATATTTTTGGGTCAGACTTAAATATTTATTTCCCAAATACTGATTTTGCAAACTAAATGTTTAGCTCCAAAATAAATATTTAGCTGGGATCTAAATATTTATTTTGGAAAATAAATATTTAATTTACAAATTAAATATTTAGTTCCAAAATAAATATTTAATTAGTAAATTAAATATTTAGTTAGTGAATTAAATATGTATTTTACAAACTAAATATTTAGATCAGACCTAAATATTTAGTTTGCAAAATAAATATTTAACTGCAAATTAAATATTTATCTTGCTAACTAAATATTTATTTGGAAACTTTAACATTTATAAATGTATGAATAACATGATGAAAATATGACTTCGAAAAAGTGAACTCCCAATTTTTTTCTCTTATGATATGCTAAATAACCAAAAATATTGCTGTTAGATTATGACTGTTTGACTTTACAAATGGCACCCCATAGTTTTCATGACATTTAGCGTGTATTTGGCTGTGTCCGAATCCAGAGGTAGGATGCTTGTGAGTACAGGTCCTCGCCGGTCTAGCAAGACCGGGTCCTTGATAGACCGCTAAAACCGGAAGTCAGCGGCTCTGACGTGACGGCGTCAAACAGGCTAACAAGCTAGTCAGAGGTGAAAATGGATCCACAGCAGTATTCCCTTTTATTTTTGGTTTTTGAGGAGCTGCGACTGCTTAGTAAACGTCACCGGCCTTTGTATTTAAGGCTGAGAAGCAGCCATATCCAGGTAAAATTATTTTTTGTTTAGTGAACCAGCTTTCAGGCATTACATGTTAACTTTAGTGCTATAGTTTCATTTATATTTTAAGCAACAGAAAGACATGTGGCTGAATATACACATTAGTATAGAGTAGACTAACATGCATACAGTTAATTTAACCTATATTCATCTAAAATAATTAATGGAATGACATTTTAGAAGTTTGTATTTGATCATAATGCTTGGTTCTGTGCATAAATTTCATAGTAAAAGTAGCATTACAATGTGTTTAATGTGTATTGTCCTTTTCAACTTATGCCTAATAATGCCTAGCTCTCTTCTAAAAATCTCAAGCATTTATACAGTTTTTTTTTTAATTGTTTTATTGTTCTCTACTTTTCTTTTAACAGAACAGACCCCTGTACTGTAGGATAAACATGAGTGTGCCAGTCCTGGACCGTTTTTTTTAACCAGGAAGATCCCAGGCCAGATTTTCGTCTGAGCAGGGAGTCTTTTGTGGTGTTGCTAAATCTCCTGAACCAAGATCGGCGACATGGTTGGGGTGCCACAATCGAGACCCTGGTGTTTCTGTTCTGGTTGGCAAGTGGAACATCCTACAGGGTGGTCTCAAGAGTATTTGGGATGCCTCGCTCAACTGTCCACGACATCGTCCATCGAGTCACGGAGGATGTGGTCGCAATCCTCCACCAGGTCATTCACCTCCCCAAAACCCCAGAGGAGATGGAGGTTGTGTCTCGTGGGTTTGCTGGGCTGGCTCGACACAGAGCTTTCATGAAAGCAGCAGGTGCGATCGACGGCTGTCACATTCGGATCAAGGCTCCGAGCGGTCCTGATGGTCAGTGCTACAGAAACAGGAAACTGTTCCCATCTATCATCCTGCAGGCAGTTTGTGACCATCAGGGCCGCTTTATCGACACCTATGTGGGCTGGCCTGGGTCGGTCCACGACTCCAGGGTCCTCCGGCACAGCCCACTGTACAGGCAGTCAGCCTATCCTCCTCCAGGGCACTTCATCCTCACGGATGGAGGGTACCCATGCCTCCAACATCCACTCCCCCTCATCACCCCCTACAAACGGGTGGTTCAAGGTGTGGGAGCCCAGCGCTTCAACAGCCAGGTCACGCTGCATCATCGAGCATGCTTTTGGAATGATGAAGACCAGGTTCAGGACCATCTTCCTGAAAGCGATGGAGGTCCACCACACCTTTGTACCTCATGTAAGTTAACACAAAGTGGAAATAAACTTTGGGTGTAATCTTTGTTTGGGAATGAAATATAAATTAAATTTTTATCTCTATTACAGGTCATCATAGCATGCACCATCCTGCACAACATCTGCCTCAGTGCTGGTGACATTGTGGTGCAGGACGATGAACTGGAGGATGATGCTCCAGAAGATGAGGGGGAGGCTGGTTTGGAGGCAGTCAGTGGTGCCCTCTGGCGGGACCAACTTTCTGCTGAGGTGTCTGCTCTGGAGGAAGTACCACCAGATCACAATTACTGTTAACAGGCAAGTAATTTACGTAGGAATCTCTAGTTTAAAAATCATTTAGTCCTGTTATCTGCTAGAGTTACAAGTATACTCATGATCTCCTTTTTTGCATATATCTGAATGTTAGTGATGTGACAGCCGTCGATTGAGCCAGCCCAGCAAACCCTTTTGATGGACGATGCAGTGGTCAGTGAGATGACGCATCCAGAAGCACCCTCTGCAGACCACTCTGTCTGATGTTCCACTTGCCAACCAGAAACGTTCAGCCACGGATCTCGGTTCCTGCACTCCATCCACCTCGATGATCCATGTTTAGTAGATTTAGCAACACCACCAAAGACTCCCTGCTTTCCAAGTTTACTGTATATATTTTACTTTTATCTTTACTTTTATTCCTTACAGTGTTCCCTTACAATTTATTTACTATGTTGTTACTTGTTAAAAACTGAATAATAAAACTGTTAATGATCAAAAACAAGTTATCAATTAATAGAAATTTTATTACATTTAAACAAATAACAAAAACATTCAAACACATATATAGAACCTGAACCAGAAGAAACTAAAAGAAAAAAACTCCATTTCTCTGCCATCCTTTCCATCAATGCTAAAAATCTGTCCATCCTTCTTTCTCTCCTCTCCTCCGCTTCCCTCTGTTGTCTCATGTCCTCCCTGATCAGGTCAAGGAGCTCATCAGCCCTTCTCCTTTTTCTCTCTGATGAGGAGTCCGGCTTCCTTCCACCACTCTCCCTGTCCTCTGTCTCACCCACTGCTGCACTTGGCCCTGGAGTGTCCTCGGGAATGGAAGCAATAAGGACAGGAGGCATAGTGGAAGGCCTCTGTCCCAACACCTCGTCCATGGGGACAAACCAGGGCCAGGTTTCAGCAGTGGGCTTTCCGCTGACTCCCTCTCCTGACCCTGGATACTTGCAGTCCTACAGACAAAGGGAATTAGAATTACAAGGCTTTATTGTCATTTAACAACAAGAACACTGTGGGCATAATGAAATTACAGATGCTCCTTAAAGGTACTGGTTCTGGATGAGAATAGGAATAGAAGAACAAAGTCAGATTATAAATCATAGTTGATAAAACATGCAATAAACAATATTTTAATTTATCAACATGGGAGATGAAAATTGTGTTCTGTGTTTTTTTCCGCCTAAAATAAAATTAAAAACATTAAATCAGTAATGTGGTTTCTTAAAAATTAACTTAAATAAACATTAAACTTAGAATTCGTTATTTTTGGCGTTCGTTACATGATTACATAAGATGCAAGCTCTTTTACGGTGAGTTTTTTCCTATTAGACTTTCAAGCAAGTTTACGGTGGGGTGTTAACCTTAAAACAAATGATGAGAAGCTTTATTCGCTAGATAAACACACACACGGGAATTATGACGGTACCACCATACAAGCTCGTTCTCGCTGATTTCTGCTTAAAATGTACTTATACAAACGACAAATGTATATAAACAGAACCGCTTTCAGCTTAGTTTTCTACCGCTATTTTCTTTTGAAAAGCCTGCTGGGATCAAGCTAGTTTACGGTGGGTTTTTTCCTATTAAACATTCAAGCTGGTTTTCGGTGGGGCATGTTTTAGCCTTAAATTACATGAAAAAAAACAATTTGCGGTATTAGATCTTATATAAAACACAAACCAAAAGTGCCCAAACACGTATTTTATTTTTTTGACCGCTATTTTTTAACTAACTTACATTTTAAGCTGTACTGCTGTCCCGCTCCGTCCGCCGTTGTTGCGAGTGTCGAGTCCAGCGGCCGGCGTGCAAAGCATGCTGGGATACCCTTGCTCCTGTGAGGATCCATCAGACCCATCCTCGAAATGTGGGTGGAGCGAGGACGCGTTTGAGGACGCGAGAATGAGGTTCTATTTCGTCTAGTCTTAGCCCTTAAGCAAGCTGCTATTGGAAGGGTGATCTCAGCATCAGCCAATCATGAAGAGCTTAAATGTACGCCCACCACGTGGGCACCCTTTGTGGGTATATAAGTGGAGCGACTCCACTGCTCGCCTCCGTTTTCTCTTCACGCCAAGCTTAAGAGCTTCCTTTAAGAGCAATTATACAAGAAAAATCTATTCACCGACCATGTCCAGCGACGCCAGGACCTGCCCGGCCTGCCAGACGGGCTTCATCTCCAGCGGCGACCTGCACGCCAAGTGTGAGGTCTGTCTCGGGGCTCGCCACGCTGGCCTGGCCTTGACCCCCAGGCCTCGTGCCCGTTTTGTACCGCTCTGCCCGTGGCTGAAAAGGTCCGCCGGGTCGAGTACTTCACCCCCTCCACCGACGAGGAAATTCCGGTGGCTGGCACGTACTCGCTGGACAAGGCGTTACGGTTCTTCAACGTCGGCCAGGAGCCGGCTGGCTCCTACCGACTGGACGATGTCATCGACAGCGAGGAGTACAACGAAGCTGGCTGCCATAGCCCTTCTTCCCTCCTGTACAACACGGAGGTCGACCACGAGGCTGGCTGCCATAGCCCTTTTTCCCTCCAGTACAACACGGAGGTCGACGAGCCTCGTGAGGAGCACGACGAGGCTGGCTGCCATAGCGCTTTTTCCCTCCTGTACAACACGGAGGTCGACGAGCCTTGTGAGGAGTACGACGAGGCTGGCTGCCGCAGCCATTATTCCCTCCTGTACAACACGGAGGTCGATGAGCCTTGTGAGGAGTACGACGAGGCTGGCTGCCGCAGCCATTATTCCCTCCTGTACAACACGGAGGTCGACGAGCCTTGTGAGGAGTACGATGAGGCTGGCTGCCGCAGCCATTATTCCCTCCTGTACAACACAGAGGTCGACGAGCCTCGCTCAGCGGGTCCTTCTGCTCCAGTGGTTTCTTGCTCCTCCCTGCCAGCAGTTAGAGCGCTGCTCCAGGAGCTGCCCGCCATCATCTCCGCGGCTGCGACCCGCAGGGGGCTAGCCGTTCCAGAACCGGCTCCCCTGAGGCTGATGAATTGGCGGAAATTTTCGGGGCAACACAGACGCGCTGTCCAGACCCCGTCTGGCCGCGCTTCCCCGCTGCCATGAGCTGCTGGTCCGCCACCTTCTCCAAGCCTGCCAGGCTCGAGGCGCCAATTTCCACATATGCACCCATTACCAAGGTCGAGGGCTTCTCCGACCAGGGCTGGCCATCCGTTCCTCCACTGGAGCCGGACTTGGCCTCGCTGTGTGGCGTCAAGAACCACCTCACTGGACCGCGAGCAGTTCCCGCTAAGCATGACCAGCTGCTGAGGCGGCTCGCCGATCGCGCACACCAGTGCGCCTTCCAGATCGGCGCTGCAGGAAATAACATCGCCTTCTCGCCTTTGGCGTTTCCAAAATGGTGGAGGAGCTTGACTCTCCTGTCGAGTCAAAAACCATCATTACTAAAACTGCTGATGCCATCCTCAATCTGTGCGCTGCTGTACTCACCGGTTCTGCTCGCATTGCTGCCTGGCAGACCCTTATCCAGTGGCCTTGTGGCTCACGGCCCTGCCCTCCATTCCTGAACACCTGCACAGAGAGATGCTGGAAGGCCACATCACCTCTGACGTTCTGTTTGGTCCCCATCTTACGAGCGTCATCTGGAGGGCTCACCGGCTGAACTTTCAGCCACGGTGCGAGACCTGGTCCACTCTCGGTCAGCCTCGCACTCCGGCCGTTCCCCCAGAGGATGGGACGAACAGCGCGGAAACTCCATGCGCCCAGCTGCACGGCCCGCCCCGCGGAGCCGGCCTCTCGCTGAGGCGGGACCAGGGAGTTGGCGGCCAACGGTTCCGAACGAGCCAGCAGACACAGCCTTGGCAGACACAGGAACCTCGCCGAAAACAACCACGAAAACGACTCGTTGGGGGGAATGTGTGTGCTTATGGCTGCAATGTTAACTCTGTGAATTATTTTGGTTTTGAAATAAAACCCAAAAAACGTCACATCGAGAGCAGAATCCTACAGTCCTCTGCAGAACCTTCTGCCGAATCCTCACACATGATGTTCCCCGCACCAAGCACTGCAGCACATCTGCATGTTCACACAGTCGGACTAAGTCATGTTACACGGTTAGCTGTAAGGGTGCGCTCCATTTGCGCACCGCCCCCAGCCTACGGCCAGGCCCGACTCATCCCGCTTCCCCCCACAACGTTGGGTGGGACGGGATGTCATGGCACTGTCGCAACCACGCGCAAAGCGCGCACATTGCGCGGCTCCATCCCTGGCACTTTGACGTCCCCGTGCACGGGCCCGGTTCCCACTCGTCCTTCATGGACTCCACGCTCTGCGGTGCGGATCAGCCTCTTCCAGCTGTTTCACACTCGCCCTTTCGAGCACAGCCCTCCATGGGTCGCTCCCAGTTCTCTGGTACGAGCGACGGCGGTAAGGGCGCGAAACCAATCCTCAGACGTTGCTCACGTGACCTCGAGCACACGTCCGCTGTCGGAACGCGCGCACGAATGCCTCCCTTTCGGCTACTCGCTAGCCAGCACTTTCTCTAAATGTCTGGAGACCGCGCTGCAGCCACTGCACGGCGGAAGCGAGGGTTTTATTTTACCGGGACAATCTGCTCCGATGCGCCCGGTCCGAGGACGGGGCGTCAGTGCAAACCAGGAGGTTAACAGAGCATCTGTCAACCCTGGGGTTTTCTATAAACTGGGGGAAGAACTCCGTTCTTCCATCCCAGTCGATTATGTTTCTCAGGGTGGAGCTGAACGCCTCTCTAATGAGAGCACGTTCGTCGCCGGTGAGAGCGGCAGATCTCACCACGGTGATCTCCCGCGTGCAACTCCGCGAGATCGTGAGAGCCCTGCTAGTCATGAGACTTCTGGGCATGATGGCTGCAGCCCACTCGGTGGTGCTGCTGGGGTTGTTGCACTCGAGGCGCCTGCAAAGTTGGTTCATCTGCCTCCGGGTACACCCGATACGTCAGTAGAGACGTATGTTGAGGGTTCCCCCCTCAGTGGGCGGGGACCTCGCTCACTGGGGGAATCCCTGCATCCCCTCACACGGGATTCCCATCAGACGTCCTGCGTCACACGTATCTGTGTTTACGGATGCGTCACTGTCTGGGGTGGAGGGCACGTGCTTGTCCCATACGGCGGCAGATCGCTGGCCCTCCCACACGCACGAGCACATAACTGTGTTGGAGCTTATGACAGTGAGGAATGTGTTCATGCACTTCGCTGCCCTTCTCGATGGCCGTCATGTCGAAGTTCACACAGACAGCCAGGTGGCGGCAGCCTACATAAATCGCCAAGGGGGAGTTCGATTCCCCCCTCTATTGCGCATAGCCACAGATTTACTGTGTTGGGCACATGTCCACCTGCTGTGCCACCTACATTCCGGGGATCCTGAATGTAGCGGCAGACATCCTGTCGAGAGGGGGTCCCCGCGACTCCGACTGGCGTCTGCATCCCGCGCTGATATCACAGATCTGGATA